GGGGAATTCTGGGAGTTGAAGTCCACATGTCTTCAAGTTGCCAAGGTTGAGAAACACTGATCTACCTCCTACTCTTTGTAATTGTCTCCCTCTTTGAACTACATTTGGGGTCTGATCTCCTGAGCTTTAAAAAAGGCACTTAAACCATTTCCTTTTCCAAGACTTTTATAAAGCTTGAAGACCTATTCTTTCTGGTTGCTCTACCTGATACTGGCATAAAATTTGGTAGTGCTGGAGTTAGAGGTGTAAAATTGATATGCGTACACACACTGCTGTATTGCAATATTTATGCCTGTATAAATACAGTATAGTATACTGTACAGTTTAGTATGCTACTAAAAATGCTATTAGTTGGTGAGGTCACACATGTTGGCCCTGCTTTATACATGGCCCGTTTTTTTTTTAAACATAGCTTATTATATGAACTATAATTGGTTGCATTTACATGATATGCTAAAACCAAACAACACTTTTAAGCCAACAGTCTTGATTGAATGAGCCACATAAGTGTGGTAGCCTGTTTGCTTTAAGGAAAGGCATCGTTTTGCATGGCATCTGAACAAAGAATGATGGATGTGTATGCCAAACAAGCTGGGATTTGTAAGCCAAGAGCAAATCCTTATTTAGAACAAGCTCATGAATGTTGGCTTGTTTAGCATACAATCCCAATTTCAGACTTAGATATTGTATCATCCATAGATTTTTTTTTAGAGATGTGCTTCAGTATTTGACGACTTGGGCCTTTTTTAAGGTGCTGCAGGCTGACCATGACCTGCAGGAAATGATGGAGAAATATAAAGAGAATCAGGACCAAATCTTAATGCTGGACCACACACAACGCCATCTGAAGGATTAGCTGTCTCTTACTATGGACAAGGCGCTGTTCCCCAAAGCAACTTCCCAGGTGGTGCTTGTAAACCTGAGGGCATTCTGAGAAGCTTTACAGAGTTGTCCAAGTGTTGGAATTACAGAATTGCGGAAAAGGCCTTCCAGCTTCATGCAAGATGACCCACCCTGAGCAAGACTGCAGCCTAGTCTTGGAAAGAGCTGGCTTCTGCACAGAGGAGTCCCCTCTCCATCCTCAGCCCCTTCCCTGCTTTTGGTCTCCCCCTCCCTTGAGGAGTGAAGTATAAGAATCATCTACAAGGGAGTAAATACATGCATATAAGTTGTGGCTATTTCTTCTCTTTCACAGCAGCCCTTCTATTTTTATAAGCTTGCACTTTCGCTGCCAGTGAGAACTGAGAGATTCACAAATGATGGAGAAATATGAAGAGAATCAGAACCAAATGTGTAGCTATTGCTTAATTACTTCTGCTGTCAGCAGATCCTGCTGTTTGGAGTTAGCAAATGTATAGCTTGCTTCCTGAGAGAGCCTGCCTCAAATGCAATCACATTTAAATCTTATTTTTTTTAAAAAGGAATTTTAATACAGGAGGGGTGGCAAAGAAAACAACTGGCCAGGCTTACTACTCATGACATACATCTTAATATTTTATGTATACTAAAAACTTTATACAGTACGGGATAGTTCAGTTCTTTTCCACCCAGGAATACGTAAATTGCATAAATTATATGAAACAGGTAAAGCAGCAAACTGATGGTGTTGACAACCAAAGCTGGGTTGTTGTCAGAATTCATCTCTGGGGCCCACTTTTGATGGCCCTGACCCACTCCTGAGCACCACCCCAGGCAACCCAGCTGGGATCAAGATGTTTTTGCCTCTCACCCTTCCTCTCTTCCAAGGGCGGATACTTCCCAGGTGTCCCCACATTGAGCCTTAGTTAGCCCATTGGCGAGATGGTTTCTTCTGGTAAGAAGAGGCACCACTATGGCTGATGGCCTCCAAGAAACAATCAGGAAGAGCTGCTGCTGGAAGAGGGAGAAAGTGAGACAAGCAAAAGTGCCCCAACCCCGACCAGGTTACCTTGCCCTGACCAGTGAACAAAAAGACCATTAGAAGCGCCTGAATTATTTGCATGGCCCTGTCTGGGCAGGATGGGAGTGAACCTGCTCCAACCCCCAGCCTCGCTTTGAGAACTCCCATTTACTTTATATTCCCTAAAAGTCAGTTTATTTGGAATTACTTCTTTATAGAATTTTGTATTTGATATTAAGAGTTGGGTTCAAACAATAGTCACGCTGGATCAGTGACTTATGTGAGCTGTAGGTAAATGATGGAGAGCATGCAAATCTTTTAAATTTGCCTTAAACTATTACCTAGTCTGGGCTAAAACATTGCCCTTAACTGAGGTGGGAAGATGAGTATAAATTTTGGTTCTGGAATAGAACATGTGTTGAAGGTACATATTTGCACTGAAGAGAATATGAGTTTGCTCAATTTCTTACCCCCCCCCTTTTGTACAAATGATTTTATTAATGAGTGTAGAACTTTCTGTTCAGCATGTTGTAAAACTCTTGACTATTTACTAAAACTGCAGTTTACCAGGATAAGGAGAACGGCAGATGTGATTCCAAGAGATTTATCATTCCTTTCCTTACTACTTCATTAAAAATGTCTCATGCATTATTATCTCAAATACTTACTGCAATTAAAGAGAACAACTGTCCACTTGTTATTTGGCTTATTCTCTTTGGGACACTGAATTCTAAGATGGAAGAGATGGTTGCATCTCTTATTTAAGTGGGCAATGTTAAAGTTACTGGCAGAAAATTAACATCCGATTCAGTTATTCTCTAATTGAGCTGCATAGTGATGTAAAAATATAAGCATACATTAAAAGTCTTTAATATATTAACAGTTATTGCCTGTGCTTTGATCTATGTCAAGATACAATGGGAACACTGCAATCTTAATCTGTTTTCCCACCAAATATTAAATAATCATTAAAATCTTTTCAGATTCCACAATTGATCTCACTCCGGTTTTGAGAGCAATTATGGAATAACTGCAATATAGGAAGATTCACAAATTATTTTGTATAATATTCTCAAGGGCTGGATAGGAAAAAATTCATTTGGCAGTGGACTCTTACTTCACGCAAGCCTACAGTAAGACTTTGAGGATCCAATGTGTTCAGTCCGAACACTGAAGCAGAAAACTATGCTATAGGGTGCTCTTTTAGCCTTTGTGTAAGGTTTGTGTGTATGTGTGTAGTGCCTTCGAGTCAGTGTTGACTACTGACTACCTGGACTAGTCCCTGCAGTTTTCTTGACAAGGTTTTTCAGAAGTGGTTTGCCATTGGCTCCTTCCTAGGGCTGAGAGAGAGTGAATGGCCCAAGGTCACCCAGCTGGCTTTGTGCCTAAGGCTGGACCAGAACTCACGGTCTCCTGGTTTCTAGTCCAGCACCTTCCTTCCTAGACCACACTGACCTTTGGGCTAAAAGAGAGGGATTGGCCCAAGGCCACCCAGCTGACCTCATCCCCAAGACTGAACTGGAATTCAACAGTCTTTCGGTTTCTAGCCTGGTCCCTTAAACCACTACACCAAATTGGCTCTCTTTGTGTAAGCATCCCCAAGAGAAGGTGGTGTGATGATAGGAGAATGCTATAAACTGAGCAAAGACAATTCAAGAGCATTTTTTTTTTAATTCCAGAAAAAGTAGTTTTCAAGCAGAAGCAAAAATATTTCACAGGAAATTCTTCTATCTTGGCTTTTCAGGAATTACATAAGCAGTCCATATGCTGAACCCTGAGTGTCAGCCACTTGTGACAATGAGCGAACGGATAATGCTCAACTTGAGATCTGTATTGACTTTCATAGGTTTCTTTCTTGTAGGGTTGAGAAACCTGCACCCCTCCAATTGTAAGACTCCAAGTCCCACATTCCCTGAATATTGGTCATGTTAGCTGAAGCAGACGGGTATTGAAGTCCAATAGGTCCCTCAGCTCAGCCTTGCTGGCAAAGGAGCACAAAATGAGTTGGAGTAACATGATTAGAAATAATAACCAAGAGTAGGGAGTCAAAAGATAATTTGGTGTGAAAAATGTTCATGTGTGTTCCTTCACTAAATGTTGAAAATATGTCCAATGAAATGTGTTCGACAGATCATCATACACGTAGTATGTTGGCTGTTTGCTTATTTTGGTTCATCATCATAAGACTACATTTTTTTTGGACAGTCTTTTGTGAAATCTAGCTGATTGACCATGGAAGGGACAAAAAATTTATCTGCAAGTCCAGAAGAAGCCAAAAGAGAGGAAAAGCCAAAAGTAGAAATAAGCTTACTATTGCCAACATGTTTTGGATCCAAATGGCTTTTCTATGGGAAATTCAAAGGAAATTATTTTCCCCTCATTTTCATCTGTTGTTTTTTTTTTTTTTTTTTTTTTTTGCTAGGGCAGACAACATATTAGAATTTAAATGCTTCCCCCCTCCCCCAGATTTCCCTGTTGGATCAGCTGAGTCCAAAATGCTTTTTCTTTAAAAAAAAATACCAAGATTCTTGGGTTCTTTGTTTTCTGTCAAATTATTTTTGGTTATATTTCAGTGCAGAAGAAGCTTAACATTAAACTTTATCTTGTAGTCTAGTCAACCTGTTATATTGTAAGGAGCCTAACAGAAAGATGTAACAGTGAACTAATCAACAGCAAACTTGGAGCTATGCAAATCCATTTGATATTCTATTTTTCTGGATATCTTTCATACATTAGAAATAATCACATTTAAAGTAACATTTAAATAACATTAAAAATGTTACAAAAATAACAGTTCATGTATTTATGAAGCTGCCTATTATGAACTTACAGTATTCAGGATCCAGCCAAATCAAGATAACTTTTTCTTATAGAGGTAGTTCTTGTTTAGCAACTGCCTCAGACAGTGACTGTTCAGAGTTACAACGGTGATGAAAAAGTTGGTAACCAATTCTCGTATTTATGACCTTTGCAGGTCTGTAAAACAAAGGAAAGCTGAAGTAAGATCGTAAGCAGTGGTGGTTTCACTTAGTGACCACTTTGCTTAACAACCAAGTCGCTGGTTCCAACTGTGGTTGCTACATGAGGATTACCTGTAATCTTGTATCTTAAAGCTCATGATTAATGTTTCTTTGATTAAAACTGAACTGGGTGGGAAGAACATAAAACACTCAGAGAAACTTCAGAAAGCATTCCTTATCTGTACAGTTTCTTAGTCCTAGTTCTTTATCCTGGACAACTTTCAGGCACTTAGGGATTGCATAAAAGGCTGGAGAACTACCAAAAGGATGAATGGGACACTCGTGTTCCCCCACTGTGTGTACCCCTCTTTATCCTGCCTGCTAACCATTAGTCCACAGACAGAGGCATATCTAGAAGAGACTGGTTAGAGATGCCTAAGTGGATGAAAAAGGACATGGGTGCCGTTGAAGGGATGGTGATTTTTTTCCATCCTGTGGGTGCCTTTACATAGCAATGCAAAAACTAAAACTAAAAAAAAATCTTAAAATTTTAACATGCTTTCAATGATTTCACAGTAAGAGGATGCTAAAAATCTCATGAGATCTTAGCTGAGCACATCTGAAGTCGAATGAAATATCACATGATAACCTCTTGCTAGATTTCACCATTTGATGAGATGGGGCAGGGATCTAGTAGACACACTGATGCTCTCAGAGACCGTATGACCAAATTTGCTGTAGCTGCAACTCCGTATATCCTGACTTGCTAGTCCCAAAGCTCCCAGGGACTTAAGTTTTAGTTATCTTTGTTAATAACAACGTAACCTTCTAGGCTGGATTCATTCATATGCACCCCACCAGTATCAAAGTCTGCCAAAGATGAGTGGAGGGGACATCCTTCTTGCCTATACTGAATACATGCTGGAATGTCGCCACAGTACTGAGCCTCAGAGGGAATGGGACAGGTTGAAATAGGTGGCTCTCCAACATGCTTAAAATACCCTTCTGCTTCACACACAATTGGAACATCTCGATGTCTGCCATAACTTGGACCAGGTGTGGGATATTTGCACCCAGTGATGTTACTGAAGTGATCTGATGAATAGAGGTCCATGTTGTAACTGTCTCTACGGGGTAGGTCTGCAAATTTCATCCCAGGATGATAAAGTTCTTCAATGACTCTCTGGCTCCTTGTGGATTCTGGACGTGCTGTTTCTTCCACAGGATACATTAGCCTCTCCATGCAGTTTTCCTTGTTCTTCGGCTTCTTATCTAACATCAAGGCTAAGTCACTGGAGCAGTGACATGATGGATGCACCATGCTGCCTTTCAGTTCTTTGGGTTCATCAATTGTATCTGACCCATGAAGGCTCAGACCCTTCATTGCCTCGCATATCTTTGATTCAATTGTCTTTTGACAAGAGTCTTGAGTCTGGGAGTCATAAGGAGTTTTGCTTCCCACAGTAGAGTCACTGAGGATGGCTAAGGCTTGAGGTCCACTTTCATTGGAAGGCAGAAGAGTGAGTGATTTTGCCCCACTGGTTGGTAGGCCCAGCCTTGTTTCAGTAAGCCAGGTTTCCCCATTGGTTGCTCTTGAAGGGGGGGTGGAAAAGTGGAGGGGCTTTTGCCCAATGACAATGTCGCTGTACTTAATCAGAAAGTCCTCACTGTCCATGCTTTTGATGCAGGAGTGTGTTGAAGTTTCCCCTGTTTCGTTTTGGTTCATGTCCTGCTCAGGAGTCTGTTTGGAAGCAGCTGGCTGAGTCTCTGTTGTAGTGCATTGGAGACCAAAGTTGTTTCCATGCTCCATCTTTTCTTGCTCTTTGAAGGCACATTGGCTGTGGCTCAAGCATGCCATTTCGGGATTTGCTGTCCCGTTGATTTCTCCAGTGGTCACATAATCTTTTCTTTGTGAGATTTCCTGCTTTTTCTCTAGGTCAACACAAGGAAGACTAAGTTTTTGGGCCCTCTTCTGCAGAATATCAGCCAGGTCACTGTCTTTCATGTCCCCTGCAATTTCAAGAAGGTCTTCGCATTCAATTCTTGCAAGGAATATTTCAAATGCAGTGCATTCCGCTTCTTCCTCATTAAGTTTTCTGACCAGTGAATATTCAGTGGCAGTGGTGGCAACATAGCCAATTTCTGACAGCAGTTGTTCTATTACACTTTCTGGAAGAACGGACTTTATATAGTATACGAAGTTTCCTGTAAAAGTCTGGAGAGAATGAGAAAATAACATCAGGAACTGTCAGCATGGAGAAAACTTAGTATAGTACCATTCTGAGAAATTATGGGTTGAGGTCCTTCTTTGGGGATACAGTCAACAGAAGAACTCAGACTTCAAGCATGTTATGCAATAGGTCAAGGACTCGTTTTGGCTAGTCTTAGAAATCTTCCTTCCTGCTGGCCCTCCACTGTATGCCCTCTGTTATCTCTTTACCTGATGTGGTTAGCTAAATCTGGTCTTTGGGATATCTATTGTTGGACAGGAATCTGGCTAAATCATGAGTAGATCTTAGCATCTTTAAAGGATATGGCATGCTATCTCAGCAGGATTTAGTGGAACCAAGACTAGAATATTCTTGTTATCACAGGCTTTCTGAGCACTTTATGAGATTAAAGTACTTAATAGGAGTTCAAATCTAACAATTATGGAAAAAAATCTAACAATTATGGAGAGCACGGGGAGGGGGAGCGGGGAGAAGATTGGGTGGGAACACAATCTCCATCAGCATTGTCATGATTGGAAACAGGCCCTTTCCATTTTTAGTCTTAATTTGTTTCCAATTTCTGGCATTCCTTTTTTCACACTCTGAGGCTCTTCATTTCAAATAACAGTGTCTTCTCCTTTATTTTAACAGTAAAAAGCAAACATTTCATTTTGTAATCAAGGAATAAAGCTGACTTATTGAGCTAGCCAGCCAGACTGTAAATCGTGAAGGAAACCACGATTCTTCAGTTCCACGCACCAGTTGCTAAGTTTCAGAGCAAATGGAATCTTTTCAGGGCAAAGAGAGGTCCAACAGGCAGCCTGGATGGGTTAATGAAGAGGCCAAGAGCAACTAAATCTTTTTTTTCTCCTAAGTGCAGGAAGGGGAGAAAAAAGTGATGGGGAAACACTGGGGAATGGTTTCTTCTGCCAAGAGCAGGGTTTCTCAACCTCGGCAACTTTAAGAGATGGACTTCTAACTCCCAGAATTCCCCAGCCAGCATGGGACACATGAAAGCTCTAAACAGGCACATCACAGTTAAAAACCACTCTTATCCACCCAGCTAATGTAGGGTAATTTCATATATGGGGTAACTGTGGCTGAAGTGCTGGTGTGACCACGTAGACAATGTTCAAATCCACATTCCCCCATGGGAATCTCCCGGATAGACTTTGGACCAACCACTCTCTCTCCACCCAGCCTCCCTATCAAGAGAATTAAACTGGAAGTTGGAGTCGACCACCTTGGATGCTGAGTGGAAAGGCAGAATTTAAACCCAGATGTAGAAACTGGAGGCAGAAGTACCTCACCTTGAGCTCCCAAGGCAAAGGAGGACAAATCTAACCAAGGAAAAATTAAACCCCAGATGGGCTTGACAGATCAGGTCAACCTGGTGCCCTGCAGATCTGCCAGACTCCCACTTCCATGGTCGGGGTGGCTGGAGATGAGGACAGCAGGAGCTGAAAACATCAGGAAGGCACCCAAAGTTGGTATAAGGAATATCTGGGTTGACTGCAAATGGACTGCATTGTTTGCAAATACTTCTACAATTCTCTTCATATTACGGGAGAGGTATCTCAAGAACATGCAGCCACTTCAGAAGAAGTGGGTGCACATTGCTCCTGTACAGATTTTGTGTCAATGAGTAATTTTACTAATAGCATTTTTAACTCTGCTTTATTACCTTCTCTAGGGACATTACCAGTATGGTTAGGCCAGGGTTTCTCAACCTTGGCAGCTTTCAGATGGGTGGACGTCGACTCCCAGAATC